ACTCAATGCCCCTTCCCTTCCTCCATCCTGAGTTGCAGGCTTTTCCCTGTTCAGATTCTGTTTCTTCCGAGAAGCCTGCCTTGATTGCTCCCCTGACGGGCGGCTCATCCCTTGCTTCAGCACCCCCTCCACCTCTGCAGGAGCTACAGAGCCAGGCTTTCGAGGTGCCGCCTTCCCTCTCAGCTTCCCTTTTTCATGTCAGCCTCGGGCACCTACAGGCAGCACTGCGCCACCTCCCTCGGGCTGGGTCTTCACTGTGTCCTTGTTTTTTTGCTACAAATGGAGGGGGGAAAAGATCCAACTGGCTTAGGCCAAGAAGGGTCTTTATTGGTCCTCTGAACTGAAATGGTGAGCAGTCTTGGACTTCAGACACAGCTGGATCAAGTGCCCAAGATCTGGCCAAGCACTTGGCTGCACTCCGAGAAAGGGTACCACCTTCTAATTTGTACCAAGCTGTCTTAATGGCCCCGGACGCCCCTGCCTGCCAGCGGGCGGGAAGCCTCCAGAGGAGAGACTGCCGGCGCCCACACGCTCCTTCGTTCGCACAGGGCCGCAGGGGCACTCTGTAGGCCGGGGCAGCCGCGGGTGCAGCAGCGGCTTGTCTGATCGGGGTCCGTATCGGCAGGGACTGCTGAAGCCTGTGACCTCACCTGGGCCGGGGCGGCCCTGAGGACCAAAGGACAAGCTGAGACCTGAGGGCAGAGCCAGAGGGGTCCGTCCAGAGCTGACGGGGCCGGACCGCTACAGAGGGGAGCTGCGGGGGACAGACCGCCTGTTCCCAGGACCCCCTTGCTGCCCTGAGGGAAACAAAGACTCCTGACGTGGTTCTTTTCAGACCAATGTGCACTGAGGACCCGCTGTGCACCAGGCACAAGGCTGCCTGGCCCCACCCTCGGAGCCCGAGCTGGCCGGGGCCAGGGTCAGAGTGATGAAGGGGCAGCCCTGCCAATGGGCCTCGAGTGGAGAAAGGGCAGGGTAGGGGCTCAGAGGTCAGAAGACGGCCACAGAAGGCCTGGCCCTACGCCCAGGCACGGGGCTGTCTGTATACCCTTGGGCACACAGTCACACCTTGTCACACACACCCACACACACAAGGTGCTATCACACACTCTCACGTCACACAGTGACACACGCACAAGGCTACACACACAAGCGTGGCACATCTATGCACACCCAGTGCAGGTCGTGCACGCGTGCACACGGAAACACGCATGACCCACAAGCAAGCACATGTATGTACACATGGCTACATGTGTACATACGGGCACACAGTTACACCCGCACACACGGCCAGCCCAGTGCCAGGCAACTGGTGGGAAGAGGCGAGAAGGCACCCGGTTGCCCTAGCAACACCTCCCGGGGCGACCGGCTTCGTCAGCGCAGCTCATCTGGCTACTGGCGGTGGGGGCTGCTCTGGAACCCCCTCCACACAAAGGCTCCTTGAGATGCCAACAGTCTGGGCCCCTGGAGAGGGGGCTCGGCTTGGGCCTGGAGGGGAGGCCCGGCCCTGCCCTTGGGCCTCGTGTCCTCCGTGTGCGGTGGCCGCTCCCCAGGGGCCGGAGGGGTGAGCCCGTGGAGCCCAGGTGCGGAGTCTGCGCCCTCGGAGCCGTGGCTCCACACCCCCACCCGTTTCCCTGGGGCCCAGCTCCCTGCTGAGCTTCATGACAGGCAGCAGAAGGGCCTGCTCCCAGCACCCAGCAGGCGCATAGTAAGTGCTGGATGGCAGAGGGCCTGCCCTCCCCCGCCCCGATGCTCACGCTCAGCCCAGCCAGCTCCGCGGCACCCGGCCTGAAGTTCCAGGGCTGCTTTGGCCGGGGCTGTGGTGAGGAAGCCCAGGCCCGGCTGGCTGCGGCCACCCTCCTGGTGCCCAGTGATGGCATTTCATCCCTGCAAGGGGGTGCCATCCATGCAGCCTGAGCGCTCCTGGCCTGCTCTCCACCGAGGCACAGCCTCCCTTCCCCCAGCTCACCTGTGCCCTGGCTCCGCTTTGCACAGGCCTGGAGCCCATCCCACCAACAACCAGGGCTGACTTCACAAGACTCCCTGGGCCTCGGTTTCCCCCGCCATCAAGTGAAGCCAGGCCTTGGTAATGAACCCCACGTTAGCTTGAGCCCCCAAATTCCCGAGGGCTGGAGCCCTGCACTGTCCCAGACTCTGCTTCTGTTCTCACAACAGCCCGTCTCCAAGCCCCCTTCCTTCCTGACAGGGCCACCCAGGGCCCCCACTTCCCACCGCGTCATAATGGGCACGGTAATGGGGCCAAGCCTGCCAGTCAGCAGGACATGGGAAGGTGAGCTCGGGGCCCACTAAAAACCATGGCCGTAGGAAGAGTGGGGGATGCATGTGGCGGGCCTGCCCACCAGTGCTGGTCCCCAGGCTCAGCGACCCTGCAGGAACCAGAGGGGGCCGGTCATCTTGTCCATTTCTTCACCCACTTACCAAGCCCCGAAGCATGCCTGGCACTGTGCTGGGGCCGTTCCTGTGATCCAGATAAGTCTACCTTCACTCTGGTGTAGGCCACAGCCATGACAAGGAGCGAACCGAGGTGGGGTGGGGACACAGGGAAGGCACTGGGAGGTCCTCCTGGTAGAGGTGCCGTCTCCCCGAAGCCAGCAGGCTGAGGAGAAGGTGTGTGCAGGGAGGGGTTGCAGGCAGAGGGAACAGCCAGTGCGAAGGCGCCAGGCTCTCCCCCTGCCCCTGGCCCCAGGGTGTCCCGGTCGGAGGGGATAAGGGCAAGGGCTGGTTTCCTGGCAGAAATGCTTACTTTGCGGTATCTGCCGGGTTGGGGGACCGGCACAGGGACCGGTCAGTGGGGGCTTCTCCCCAGCTTCAGCAGTTCATGGCCTCAGAAGGGTTCACCAGGGGCGACCAGTCTATCCCCATGTGCACTGAGCCCAAGAGGTGCAGGACCGGTATCTGCTCCCCGTGACCACCGTGGGGAGTGGGGTTCAAATCCTGGCTCCCAGCAGCAAGGCCGCCCTGAAGCCCTCAGCGTCCTCACCCTGCCTGGGGAAGGGCAGCCCGGCGCTGTGGGCTGCTGCAGTGGGCCTGACCGCTGCGGATGGTGGCTGAAGGCCTGCGCTGCCACAGGATCGGGGTCTGCCTGCTGGCCACTCCCTGCCTCCCTCCCAACCAGCAGAGTGGAGGCTGAGGGTGGGACCTGCTGGAAAGGGCTTCCCTGATCTCCAGGGCGCCCCCTCCCTGGGTTCAAGGTGAGCTGCCTCCCTTTATTAAACCACCGCAGAGCAAGGAGCTCACACCCCCACATTCCAGAAACACCTTTACTGCGCTAAAAACGGCCATTTGTAAACAAACACGCTGGGGTGGGTGGAGGGGACCTTAAAGAGTTAGCCACAGTCAATGCCAAACACAGATACCAAACAATGCAGGGTGTATGAAGTGGGAGGCCGAGAGGAGGAACAGGGCTGGGAGAGGTCAGGGCTCAGAAGGAAAGGGAGTGCGTGGCATCTAACTGCAGGCAGGCCCCTCTGCCTGCCTCTCCTGGCCCTGAGGCCCCACCCTGGAGCCCCCCCAGATTCCCACATGACCGGAAGACCTGTCGGTGCCAGAGCGGGAGGTGAGGGGGGCAGGGTCCAGGATGGAGGCCGCAAGGGCCTGCCAGAGGGGTCCTTTGTTCTAAATCCCCAGGAGGCCACACACCTGGCACACAGGTGTCACCTGAATGTGTGGCAGGGACAGCACTCCTCAAGTCCCGGGACCCCCCCCCCCGCCAACCATCACCCCTTTGCCAAATGTGGCCCTTCCCTCCTCCTGACTGCAGAGCTCCAAATCGCAGTAGGGGACGGGCTCAGGGGCTGCTGTCCCCTAGGGTGAGACTGAGGCAGTAGCTCCCAACATCCCTTGGGGCCAGAGATGGCCATCTGCGCCCACGCCCAGCGGGGGAGGCCTAGCCAGGCTGCCGTTGCTCGGACAGCTCATTTCTCTATTCCATTCCAAGTTAGAGAACGCACAGCAATGCCCCAAGGGCCCGCCAACCTGCCACAACAACTCAGCCCATACAGCCACCAGACAGCAGAAAAAGCCAGAGCTCAGTCCCTGCTGGCTAGCGGTGACCCCACCCTCCCATCTGCCCCAACCAAAGCCTCCTGGAGTAAAGGCCATGCCATCGGTCACTGGCTTTCACTTGTTGAACACAGCCAGGCCACCAGTGCCAGGGGCACTGGGCAGAGGGTGGATGGGTGGCCCTGAGGCGGCAGCCCCAGGCATGGAGGGCCAGGGAGGAATGGGCAAGGTGGGGTCAGGGGCAGGGAGCTGCTCTCTGGGAACCTTCTGAACAACCCTCTCCAAGGGTGGCTCCAGACGACTCAGCGGGGACACAGGGTCCTGAGCAGGCACAAGGCACAGCCAGGCTACCCAGGGAGGACAGTGGCTGACGCTGGGGGGGGGCTGGGGCTGAGTCGCTTTCTGTGGACAGGGAGTACGATGGTCCCGCTGCTCTCTCCCGGGATGTCGACTCCGAGCTCGGGGAGGAGCCCCATTCTTCCTGCCTGCTCTCTCTCAGACAGGAGCCAGCCTGACCCGAGCCCCGTGGCCGCGGGCAGGATCCGGGCCCAGGCCTGGGGTCGGAGGCTCTGCTCTCTCTGGGTGATGGCAGGGCCGGGGGTAGCAGCAGGATTCTGGGGGAAGGCCACATCAAGCCACCAAGGAAGAGATGCAGGCCAGCCCTGGGACCCACAGCTGCCCTCGCTAAGGGTCACAGCCACCTCTTCTAGAACTCCATGAGTTAAGGGTGTGGAGGGCATGGGAGGGAGTGCAGAGAGCCCCCAAATTAGCCCTCTCTCTTCCTCAGCAGGCCCCCCTCCAAAGAGATGAATTCATCATGAAAAGTCATGTCCTGGTCGCTGTTGGCAACAGGGTGCGCAGGAGGCCCCTGGGGGCAGCGGGGCAGACCCAGCCTGAGTGAGCACCCGCCTGCCCGTGAGGGCTGGGTGGGGAGGGGAAGGGGCGCTCCACGGGGGTTTGGGGGTGCCCCTGGGCCTTCACAAGAAGGGGAGGAGGGTGGTCAGTGGCAGCTCCTTCTCGCCCAGGAGTGTGCCCCGCTTGAGGCCGCTGCCCTTGTTCACCACCTTGACCCTGAGTGCCAGCTTGCGGACACTGGCTGGGCCCAGCCCATCGAAGAAGAAGTCCTCGTTGAAGACCGGGTGGCGGCTGTTCTTGATGATGGTGCTGCGCTGTTTCTGCAGCTTCCCGGGGACCAGGCACAGCCCCACGCAGCAGTTGATGCTGCGGGCATCGCACAGGCGGTCGTAGAGGCCCTCGGCGGCCAGCAGGCGCACGCGCAGCCGGGCCTGGGCCGCCTCGTACTCCGCCAGCAGCCTCACGCTG